AGTGAATCAATTGAGATATAACTGAATTTTAATTTTATTAGCTTTTAGTTATGTTATTTCTTCTAATATTCAGGTTAGACTGCAGTAACATAACACCTTTTTTTTTTTTTTTTACATTTTGTCATGAGATCAGCTCGAACCGTTACCCTGGAAGAAAGGGATATAAACTTTACAAACGTGAAAGCCACTTGACCCGAAGTGTCAAGTTCACGTATCACTTTTTCTTATTAATAATAATAATAATAATAATAATAATAATAATAATAATAATAACATCATCTACTAAAGTGGTTCAATGCCTCAAACAATCCGGTCCCAAGCTGACGTAAGAAGACTGGCAATGGTCCTGGCATGTATACTTATCTTTTAGGAAATGTGTTCCTCTGAACTGAATCCATATCATAAATAGGATAGCTCCAAATACAGGTGGGAAATTGCCCATGGACGCACCTAAACTCCACAACACTACAATTAATAAAACTTTACCATAACTTTCTTTGTTAAGCAAGTTACATGTTCTAGACTATAGCTAGTCTAGTAGAATAAACAAGGCATCCACAAAATTGTCCCTGCCCTTTGTAACTGTTATTTGAGCAGGTTAAGACTCACTCGGAAGAACATTGAAGAAGTGATACACCTCATCTTCATCGATAACACCAACCTCTGTTGAGCAGACAGAACAGCAGACAGGCTTGAACATTTCACCGTCAGTGACAGCTGTTTCACTCTCACTAGATACTCTTTTTCTTTTGCCTCTTTTTGGTTTTTCCCTTGCTTGCCTGACTTGATCATTTTCAATCTTGCAGTTCAGAACAAAAATTGCCCTGTATTGCGTCAAATATTTCTCATGCCTGCAAGAACGTAACACAGTTAGTTATGGTAAATACAAATATCAATCTTCATAACCATTACAAATTAGAGTGATTAACCACAATATTTTGTGGAAAATGAACTACATACAAAGTTTGAAGTTCTATGATTGATTATTAAAAACCAACAGCTGGTATAAGTTACACGTGCATTCTTTTTATGTAAATGTATTAAGTGTAAATAAACAATGTATTGTGTATCCCTGACAATCTCCAGTTCAAGCAGGATTGACTAATTCTTCATACTGTGAATGTCTCATAGGTTTGGATTACAGTTATCGGGACTTAGGAGACACAACTGACTGCAGAATGCTCATAATAAAAAATTTCAATACTAACAGAACAAGATTGCTAGAGAGTTATCATGAAATGGTCCACAAACACCTTTTAGCGTATGAGAACAAGATTGCTAGAGAGTTATCATGAAATGGTCCACAAACACCTTTTAGCGTATGAGTTACAGCAAGATTAATACATTAACAAAACTCCTACCATATTGGTATGGACCCAACCATTATCATGCTGATACAAATTCATCCCTTTAAACCTTCCAATACTTAAAATATTCCGGCTAAAGCTTCAACCATATTGGCATGGACCTAACAATCACGGCAAGATTAACTCATACAAATCATGTTTATTCTCATCATGAGGGAATTCACCCTCTTTCACATCTTGAAGGATAAGAATTCAATTATTATCCTCAATATTGAAGTTGCTAAGAATAATTAAACAAAGGATTTCAAGCTCGTATCAGTATTCAAAAAGTAAAAAAGTTTTTCGCTTTTAACTGCATTTCCCCCTTTTATATTAGACTTTTAAGGGCATCAATATTCAAAAAGTGACGAATCAGTTATGTGTTACATTCAACCAAAGCATCCACATGCAAAGGGTGCATCTAAAGTCAAGAAAATCCACATATGAAATGTATTTGAGTTATCTATTATCCTCAACATAAATATTGCAAATACAAAGAAATCCAAGTCACATACCTTTGACATTCAAGGCAAAGGGTAGTAAAACAAGCTGGACAGCTAAGCACTGCATCAGAAATACGGCCTTTCCTTTTATTTTGAACCCATTCTTCATCTTTATCATCAAGCTCTGGATCATAGAATTCTGGTTTGATGGAATAGTCTATTTCATCATCATCAGAAACTGTAATACAAACAACCAGAACACTCTGATTAGATAACACATATAAGGAAAAAATTTTCATGCACTATACAAGGCCGTCCAGCATAATATTTTATAAGTAAAAAGCTTAATCATTAGCCAATTCATATTAAAGTCAATCCATGCTTCTTTGACCAAGCATAATTTTCCTGAAGAAAGGCTTTAGCGTTTCTGATTTCTGAATATCAGCTGCTAGAGGATTAGAAGTTGAAGTGTCCACATTTGAGCTTTTTGGGAAAGAGATTATGCTCATAGACATCCAGGTTTTTAAAAAAATTTGCCATCTTTCAAAATTATCAACTCCAGCTTCCTTTCTCATCTGGTTCTTTCAAAACTGGGGACACATGGAAATACTTAAAAAGGGCAGCAAGGAAGTATAACTGTAAGTTTCCAGATTCTATCCCAGAGGAATAGTTTCATCAGCTGGTCAGGAATCTTGGCAAGGCTCTTAACTAGGGCAAGGAAGAGACATGCAAGTGGACCTCCACTCTTGATGATACATGCATTCTCTGCAATGTCAGGTGGAAAAAAGGGAACATCTTTTTTTGAATGCATCTTCTTTACTGAAGTATGGAAGGACGTTTCTACAAAGGCTTGTTTTCATGGCCCAATGAAAAGTGAAGAGGAAGCCTTTATGTCAATCTATCATCAAGCTGGCTTGGAATGCAACAACTTAACATCTCTGGCATGAAAGAAACAGAGAGATTCCTCAGGCTTCAGGCTTTTGTCTTTGTCTTGCTAAGCTGTGGTCTTCTCCCATGGGCTGGGATATACACAGAAAGTTGGGCCTTGAGTGTATAGTTAGAAGTAAGCTAGGGCCTCCAGTGTATGGTTAGCAGCTAGAGCAAGGAGTTTTACCATTATTAGTCTGATTCTTTTTTACAGTAGTAGTCATTCATAGTTCATACACTGCTTGGTTTCCTATAGTTTTGGATGAAAAAAATTTACAATTCACCCCAAAAAGCTAAAAACCATCAAGTCCATTATATAATTTCACAAAAATGATACTTATTGAATGCACTTCACAAAAGTTCTAAGCTTTGGGTCAAACAGAATCAACAGACTCTTTCTTAGAAGTCCAAATAGACTCATGATATAAAAGAAACCTTGCTGCCAAACCATGAAGAATTAAGATAAAGCATATTAATCAGTTGAAACAAAAATTCAAGATGTCCCAAAGTTTAAGTTAAATGATTGTAAGATCAAATAGAGGAATAGCTAAAAATAAAAAACTAAAAAGAGCTTTCATTGTCAGACCTCTATCACTATAATCAAAGTATTGGCATAGACACCGTAGAGGCAATTCCCAGGACCACTAATGCAATTGAATGACAATATAATTTGGTATTAAGCAAAATAATATCATGTTCAAAAGTGAGAAATAAAATGAGTTGATTGAGCAGACAACAAAATGCATAATTCTTATGGAATGGAACAAAATATATCATATCACAGTCACACAGCATATACAAAGTTACAAACATAAGAATTACCATATATGACAGCACATGAAGGATAAGAAGGTACTACACGGTGCAAGCTCAACTACTTTTCTCTTTTTTTTGGTGCATCAGATGATGGGCTATACAACAAGCAATAGCTCTCCCCCTCCCAAACCCCTCCCCATTTATCCCAAGATTCGAACTTTACACCTCCAACATGGAGCTCTTAACCACTAAGACTCCCATTGCGTACAAACTCAACAATTTTTTCTATAAATTATGTACCACAAAATGTTAAGAAAGGAGAAAACAAAAGAGCAAATTTGGTGATTTAATAGGACAAAATATAAGAAGAGATGCGTCATCAAACAGCAACGAGTCGGTGAATGCAACACAACAACAAAAAAATTCAGAGACTAAAGCGAGAATCAAGATGAAAGCTTCGCAATAAACAGAAATTTCATCTCAAAATTCCACAATTCCTCTGGGGAAAATAAGGAAGAGAAATTAAGAAAAACCCACATGCAAAAAACGAAAGGGGGCAGAAAATTACTTACTAGTTTTCTGGGAATTTGTTGGAGAATCCACTTTTTCATCTTTCTCCATGTCTCTGACCAGCAACGTTTGCTTGAGGAGTTTTATACATGGGTGGGTATGTCAACACAGAATCATATACCCGGTTACCAGAACGACGCCGTTTGATACACAACCATACACAGAGAAATTCAAAAAAAAAGAAAAGAAAAAGAAAAGCAACAAATGCAAAGGGCAAAATTTGATCCAAGGCGAGGACTCAACTCGAGTTACTTGGCTCACTCGCTTTGGATGGAGAATAGGGATGATAATTTGTCTCGATCTTCGTGAGGCCCGTGGAAGCTCATGATGATTCTTATCATGGGATGGGATAAGAAAGAATATTTTTTTTTGTAAAGCGAAAATTAGGGTATTTTTCTTTTATGTCTCGTCCCACAGAACTTTGTCGGATCTCATCTCCACAAAAAATTAAAAAAATATGTGAATTAATTTTATTTTAAATTTAATATAATTTTTAAATTCAAAC